CTCTGAATAACGTGCCTCTACCATGTATGTATCCTGCATTACTTTTTAATTGTCTGAAAGTAGAAGGACCATTGGGCTTGCTATAGAATCAGAATGTGACTTTACCAGTAGCCTAAGAAACTCAGGGTGACAGCTAAAGAAACATGAGTTGGGTCACATGGTTTACCTTGGAGAACAGCACACAGTGGTAGGTTACTGTTGGAATACACAGACGTGAGCTTTCCAGTAGATGAACATAAGCTGGTTCTGACAGGTTGGATGACACTATAGGCTTGTTTGTAGGGTCACGTAACATTTCTTTGGAGAAAAGCAACCTGTGGTTCCTATTTATAATAGCTGTTGGAAGTAATACATAGAGGAGAGATTTCCAGTCCTGTAGTAGCTATGTGAGCTCTGAAACTCTTAGTTGACAGCAGGATTGGTTTGTTGTGTCACCTGAAATTTCCTTGGAGAAAAGAACTCTGTTTTCTGTGAACACACAAATTTGAGATTTAAGTCGACTTGAGTTTTTGCAGTAGACCGTGATACGCGGGGTGCCAGTGAGGACATATGATCTGGGTCACATGGCATTCCTGCGAGAACAGCACTCTGTTGATACACAGTGACTGTGTGAATATACAGACCCACACGTAGGGGGTGACAACAGCTGCAATATTTAGTGCACTTTCTGTAAGAGTTGTTTCTGAGACATATGACAGGTATATTGTTGAAAACTGATGGAAATGAAGCTGCAATGTTATGGATGAGAAGACCCATAGCACAAGGAACAATATAGTATATTATATCAGTAACAAAGAGGAATTGACGTCTTTTGGAAGCACTACTGATATATTATTGAAACTGCAGAAAAATGAGTCTGAAATGGAATAAAGATGATGAGAAGACAATGGTTGCCAAGGAAGCGTGTCACAGTGGTTGCTGATGAATAGGACCAACTACTCGACTTAGTACAGATTACTGTGGGAGATTGCCATCATGCAAAAAAACACAGAAGTGTTATGTGGAGAAAAGTTGTTAACATTTTGTACAGATTTGCACAGATTATAAGTCAAAATATCTGTACAAGTACAGGTGATTTTGACTTTTGAGGTTTCTGTAGTGAACATTTTAACCATTGATTGTGGTTTACAGAAGAAAAAAAAGCAGATAAACAAACGACACAGAAAGCACCAAAATGCTGGCTTCGCCTTCTTTGCAGAGGCAATCTGGTGAGTACATGACGCACATGTAGGTGCACACATTTATTGCATGCTTGTAAAACACGCATGGAGGAAGGTAGAGAGGGGAGGGAAGAGAGAAAGAGAGAATTTATACATTTCCCAGAAAATTTAATATTTTAATATTTAATTTTAAAAGCTCAAAAGCTCATTGCATTGTCAGCTAGTAAAGTTGACATGCTTTTGTTGAAATGAAATTTAAAAAATGTAGCAGATGAGTGAAGTGGTAGATATTTTATAAGTAATTACATTTGACTGATGATATAAGATGAGTTTAGTACTAAAAGTAAAATTTCTCTAATTTCTCTGAATTATGGGGTTTCATTATGTCTTCTGTTTATGTCTACAGTGTGTGTGCAAGTGAGAGCATATGTGCTTGTGTGTTTGAGTGTGTCTGTGCATGTACACGCATATGTGTGTGTCATTATCATAGAATAATTTTCACCCTCCAAAACTCAGGGTGTTCATGTCTCCTACAAACGTACCAAAACAATTAATATTAGATGTCATATAATCAATCACAGAGTCACTGCCCGCCCTCTGAGTCTATGAGTTTACACGTATCCTACATACTGTGACGTTAATGGAATCAATCAATAATCATCAATCACAGTCTCATTACAGTTGAGATAGATTCAGGGACTGTTATGTCATTTCATCCTGGGACATAAGTTACTGAAATGTCATTGTAATAGGGTTGTCTGGAGTGCTTTAGAACTCGGAAGATTTGTTTTGAACTGTGAACCATGGGCATCCTATCTTGCTGATTCTGATTTATAATTGATAGATTTGCATTTTGTCCATCACTTTCACTTACTAGCACTAAGACAATAATTAAATTGGGTTGTAAGAGAAAAGTATGAGATAATGGCATTGTGACCAGATATATGGTAGTGTATAATGTAATTAGAAGTCTAATTAACTTTAAGGTTATGTGTTCAGGAAAGGTGGGAAGCTTAAAATGCTAGCGCCCCCCCCCCCCCCCCTTCAAAAAAACAAAAAAAC